AAACATTTGAAAAAGTATTTAATAATCAGGGAAATGCAAAACCACAAAGGCACTGGATACCCATCACTGCATACCAAGAGCTGATGAGAATGTAGAGTAATGGGAAGTCTCTTACACTGCTGGTGATAGTGAAAATAGGTACCTTTTAAATACAGTTGAGCATTACATACTAAAGTCTAGTCTTTTCACGGCTATTCTGTTCTCAGTAATTTTCAGCAGAAATGTGTGCACATGTGCACAAGAATGGTCATAGTAGCATTTACTTATAATAGCTAAAATTTGGAAACAACCCAAATATCTATTCATGGAAGAATAGATACTTTTTTGGGTACTGTTCACAAAATGGAATATTATACAGCATTGAAAATGCACAAATTGCATGTGTACATAGCAACATGGAAGAGTCTCAAACATAAAGTTGAGTAAAAGAAGCCAGACCCAAAGGAACGCATACTTCATTCCATTTATTTTACAATACAAAACAGACAAAACTAAATTATGATGCTTATAGAATGTATAATTGGATGGTGAAAAAAGAGGTAATTACCATAAAAATCTAGACAGTGGGGAACTTTATGGGGAGGGAGAGTGCTGTAATACCGGGCTCTAGGGTGCAAGGAATGTTGTTATTTAACCTGGGTAGCAGTTATGGAAGGAATCACTTTATGCTATTCATTAAACTGCATGTTTATGTTTTATATGCTTTTTGAATGTGTGTTATACTTCATAATTAAAAAGTTTTAAAAATTGAGTGAAAACCACGGTACCACTGTGGCCTGAGGCTAAGATAGTTTGAGACATCTATCTCTGAACAGGGATGGTCTTGCTAGTGCTGCTGATGTTCATAACACATAAATAATAATATTTCACCCATGTGCACTATTTCATTGGCTCCATACTCTGTGAGCCAGGTATGGCAGAAACCATTGAAGTCTTTTCAGTGATGTGAAAACTGAGCCCTGAAAAGGTTGAATGGCTTATCCAAATCCACATTGCTAGCATATGGCAGAGGTGGGAGTTGAAACTAGGTCTTTTTTCCTCCCCCAAATCAAAGTTAAAACCATAAGGCAATGCACACCCCCTAGGGTGGCTATTATGAAAAAAATGCAGAATAATAAGTGTTGGTGAAGACTTTGAGAAGTTGGAACCCTCGTGGAAGCTGGTTCAGAATGTAAAATGATGTGGACACCATGGAAAACAATTTGACGGTTCCTCAAAAAGCTAAGTATCGAGTTACCATGTGACCCAGCAATTCTACTCCTACGTGTATACCAAAGAATTGAAAATAAGGATTCAGTTACTTGTACACCAATGTTCATAGCAACATTATTCACAATAGTCAAAAAGTAGAAACTACCCAAGTGTCCATCAGCAGATAAACGTATGTACAAAATGTGGTATATACATACAATGTAATATTATTCGGCCTATATAAAAAGGAGTGAAATTCTGATACATGCTATAACATAGATGAACCTCGAAAGCATGCTAAGTTAAATAAGCCAGACACAAAAGGACAAATATAGTATGATTCAACCTATATGAGGTATCTAGAATAGACAAATTCATAGAAACAGAGAGTAGAATCGAGGTTACCAGGGACTGGGAGGAGGAGGAAATGGGGAATTAGTGTTTAATGGATACAGAGTTTCTGTTTGGGGTGATAAAAAAGTTCTGGAACTAGACAGTGGTGATGGCTACACAACCATTGTAAATGTACTTAATGCACTGAATTGTATACTTAAAAGTGGTAAAACTAGTAAGTTTCATATTATATATATTTTACCACAATTAAAAACATTTTTAAAAACACAGGACAAATATTGTGATGAACTTTATTTACCTTGTGTTCCCCAAACCAAGAAGCTGAATTTATTCTGGGGGGGATCAGGGGTTCTGGTCTTCCTCCAGGAAGATCTCAAAAGATGGGTGTAGCTTAAGTTTTCAAGGCTAATTCCCTACCAGTCTTGAAATGCTTCATCTTCTAGATCCTCCACAGTCAGCAATAGATTGGTACATGACAGACCAACCAATTCTACATCACATAGGAATCAGACAAATGCATGTTTTATGTCTATATGATGGATGTGTGAAGATGTGCACACCTAGTCTCAGAGATAAGGAGTGAGAGTATGTGCCTGAAGCAAATAGGGTAATCTCAGGTATATTCTCTTTGGTATGAATTAGCTATGAGTTAGGTATTTTTTGTACATCAAGAGTAAGCTAGAATAAAGCTGTAAACTTTTCACATTTTTTGGTGCTTTAACACAAACTCTTTAGACAGTCTATAAGTCCACTTCCTAGAGATATTCTTCCTGCTAAAAAAATCAAATTATATTATTTAACTTCATTGCAAAGAATATTTCAAAAATAATCTTTGATGTTCAGCTAGTGTGGGATCTCCCAAGAGATATTAATGAAGATATTAAGGCAAATAATCCATTGTGTTTCCCTGTAATGCTTTAAAATACCCCACAGCACTTGCTTTAGGGAAGCAAAGTGTTTCTTCCAATGTGATTTCATAGGCTTTTTTTAGTTCATACTGAATCTGAGTTTCTTCTCAAGTCTTAAAAAAATTTCATTTTAGCTTTTTCTGCTTGTATTAAAAAGTTTAGATTTGTGGATGTGTAATATTTTGCTGCTTTCTAGGTTGTTTTAGACTTCATATTTCTGAAAAAAAAATGAGTATAATCACTGTATCCATAGTTTTAAAGTTGGGATTCATACACGGAAATGACGAGATAGCGTAGTTGCTGGGAGCACTGATTCTGGAGTGTGACCACAGGGATTCTAGTCCTGGCTCTGCCACTTACTAGCTCTGTGACTGTGGGCAAGGCATTTGACCCCCGTATGCCTCAGTGTATTCATCTGTAAGATGGAGCCTACAATAATATCTACCATATAGAATTATTATAACTAAATGAGTTAATATTTGTAAAGCAATTAGAGTAGTGCTAGGCACAAAGAAAACACTACTTACGTATGAAATAAAATAATATAAAATAGTGTAAGTTAGCTGTAACCCTGGACTTTGTGCTTTTATTTTTTGTCTGTGAAATGGAGATCTTAAACTCAAAAAGATATGTGAATGTTATTATAATGTCAATAGTAACAATTTCTTGAAAATTCTTCAAAAGAAAGTTGGCAGAAGTCACTGTTTACTATGATAATTATCAATGTAATCAGAATACATTTTCAACAGAAGATAGAATAACTCTCAACTAATACAAAATAGTGGGTTTTGATCAAACACCTTATTTTCTTTTGCAGCTTTGCCCTAGATAGGAAGGGTGGCCTTTTCATGGCAGAAGATGTCAGATTAATCATCATGACTCCACTAGCTCTTGACATAATAATTAATCCATATAAATTACCCAAGTGATATTAAGAAAATAATTTATATAATCTGTGATGTGAGAAATCAGTTGTTTCATTATTCATCACCCATTGTGCAATTTTGATTTAATTTGGTTTGTTGTATATTATTTTACTGCTCTATTAACTTAATGATTAGAGCAATTATTTATAGTTTGTGATATTAGGTAATAGATTTAGAAGAGATTATTAGATAATTCATGATGAAATGATGTTTATGAATACTATGGAGAATTCTGCCATTTTAAACTGAATGCTGTATGCAGTTTGATCATAATGAATTCATATTCTTCTATAAAATTCATATAACACAACTATAAATTTAATTTTCCATTGACATAGAGATTAGTAATCAACATTATTTAATATAGAATTGGTAGTTAATAGTACCCTTGGCTCTCAATTTCTTTGTGTATCTATGGAAGTATAATACTGTTGCTGGAAGATTCTAATGTCAAGTGAAGAAAGCAAATGATCTGATGGTCTACTTTTGTTTGTTTTTTCAAGACAACCTCTAATTATAAATCTTCTATTGCTACTTCTGCTCTTGGAAATTTCTTATAGATATCTTTGTCCTTACTTTATCGAATGTCCTTCTCATCATTACCAGGACTTATATTTTTTAATAGTGATGTTTATTTGAATTTGCTCATGTGGATTTCCTTGATCATTTCTCTCTAGACATATAGATTGGACTAGCCTAATGCTAACCAAAGGTTTTCCAGAGGAAAACAGATTATAGAGGTGCACACTCTTATTTGAAATTCCTAATTCCTAAAGCTCTGAAAACTAAAACTAAAAAAAAAGTAACCCATCTATTGGTACATCTGATCTGAATTGATATGAAGTTATTTATAGTTTTATCCAACTTATTGTGAATATTCATACATTTCACTACAGAAATGTTAATGGTTTGTTTACAGAATGCTGCTCCAAGGCCCTGATGGAGATGTATTATATATTGTATTTACATTATATTGTCCTAAAATCGGGAAAATTCATGTATTCTGAAATACATTTGGCTGCAAGTGTTGCATGCGACCTGTAATCATGATTGTTTTTGGTGTTCTGTAATTATAAGAACTGTGTGGTCTACGAATATAAAACATAATCTAGTTATGAATGTTAGTCCTTAACTTCTTCTTTTAGATTACCTATAGTCATAATACATCAATGAAATATTATTAAATTATAATGAATGGTTCCAACATCCTTGAAACAAATAATTACTTTAGTGTGACTAGTCAAATTCTCATAGCACATGTTTTTAAAAAAATATTTGGCTGGATCCACACATTATTTACAGAGATTTATGATGAATTCCAAATTAACGTGAATCATGTAAGCAGTTTCCTAACGGTGAGTACAAGGGCTCTTTATGGGATGTCTTGGGATACTAAGATCATATGTTGCATCTGTATTCAACTCTTTGGGTGAAGCTTTATGACCCTCTCCCCACCTGCCCCCTCAATCTGGGAGAGGAAATCTTTTAATGTGGATTGCATTGTTGTTATAGTATCATTTCTCATGTAGGATATATAAATCACTACTTACATAATACTTTCATGAGAGATACTAATCCTAATTTGTTTGTAAAGGTCTAATTTTTTAACTATCATTTTTAGGTATTTACTACCAGGGAGTACACAATTCTTCATGAGAACACCAACCTACAACTTGAAATACAGTTCACCTGGAATGACTCGCTCCAACGTTTTGTTTACATCCCGATATGGCCATTTGTGAAACAGAAAGGGAAGATCGCCATGGGTTATGCATAATAGCAATTCATTTTTCCCCCAATTTAAACATGCAAAGAAAGTGACCATTAAGTGCTGTTTTATGTATATATGACATGTATATGTGTGAAATATATTCACACATGCACTCAAATAACATATATATTTATTATAATATATGAGAGAAGAATTAGCAGAAAACTGGATATAAGACTTAACCTTTCTGGAAATGTAATAAACCATGTTAAAATTGTTTACACAAATATGTGAATGTCTAGAATTTGCTAGGTTTATAATTAATACCTTCCTACTAGAAACGTTATTTTTGCTGCAGAGTATATAAAACAGAATTGATCTTGAGGATCCCATTACAGTGTTAAATTATTTTTTAGATGACACGTCTTTTGATTTGAAAAAGCAGTAATAGTAAATTACCTTATTAATTCTCCTATCTAGTAGCCATTTAAAATTACAAAAATTTAGAAGCCTGGTGTTGCTTGATGATAGGATTAAGTATAAAATTGCTTTATCGTTTCTGTAGCACACTGTTAAGTGCTATAAAAACCCCAACTTGAGTCTCCAACATTTTTATTCCTCTATGTGGAAATTTAGCTACTTGTGATAATGTACATTTTCAGTAAGGATCTAGTAAGATCATATTATAATCTAAGATGGAAGACAATCCAGTGGGTTAAAAATAAACAGAACAAACTAGCTTTTATTTTTACTCTTCATTGGGAGTCACATAAAGGAACAGAAAATGATGGTAATGACAAAATCTTTCCATATGATTTTTGTGTCTCATACCACTCACTTTTATTTGGAAAGTATATCTCTGATGGGTACATATGATCAAATACAATTTCTTCTGTTCTTCAGAAGTAGAAGAGCTGATATTTCAAAGTTATTTCGGTGTTACAGGATAATGTGTCACACTTATTTTATAAGTCTCTCAATGTTGAGACGAACTTACATTGCGAAGTCTAACACAGAGTTTCACATTGCACCATAGAAAATAATCTAAGTTATTGCACATGGAAGATTCTGATTACTAGATATTATTAGTCATGGATGTTCCCTTGATTGCCAGATATTATTAGTCATGGATGTTCCCTTGATTATTTTTTAAAATCAAAATAGAGTATGAAGTTTTCTTCTTGTCCAAAGTTATTATGCATACTTTTCATAGCAGTTTGCTTCCTTTTCTTGCTTACAGTTTCCAAAACAATGAATGAGCTTTCAGTTTTCCATAGAAATATAAACAGCACCATGGAAATCCTTAGAAATTGCAAGATTCACCTTTTAGAAGTTTATTTAAACTTCTCCCAATAGTTTTATTTTCTCACAGATGCTAATTATTTGCAAAATTCATGAATGTTTTACCTCTTTTTACTACCCTAGAAGCTATTTCCAGTAAATCAAGAAATAGCCCCAAAGCAGGGGAACTGAGAGAGGCAAACTGGCCTGGTTTAATTCACAAGCTGGATAATTGGCAACCCAAAGTAGTAAATTAGGTGTATTTTGCTTTTAAAGCCATATTCTGAGGCTGCGTTAGGCTAAAATAGGTTCTTTCCTAAATTACCGCTAGCAACTTGATTCTTTACGGCCTCCTAACACCCATGTGCCACTGGATGCTTTTCCTTGTGAGATGCATCACAAAGAAGACTTTGTTATTGTTTTTTGGAAATAGAATAAGGATGTCAGGGCAAAGGAAATTACAGTGTAGCTCTGAGTGTTTATGACTCCATTTTGTGAATTCTTAAATATATTATAGATTTCTTAGGATAAATAATGCAAAAATTCATCTATTACAAAATTATGGGAATAATCAGCAAGCAAGTCTTTTCATGGAGAACTTTTAGTCATTTTTCTTTTAAATTCCTGATTTGTCCATGAATGAGACACAATTTCAAGTGTCTGGTATGGGATATCAACCCAGTTCATTGGCCACTACTTACGTTTGCTTAATTCAAAATGGTTATTAATTTTCTAGAGTGGGTGGTTTGGAAATTCTGTCCTTAATTGTACAAGAGTGAAATTTTTATTAAAAATACAAAAGAAGAATGTCCAACATGTCTCCTGCAGGGAAAGAAAACACAAAAATTTTAAAAATCAAGAGTAAATTTAAATGTATGAAACTACCCAACTAATTGATGAACAAATTTCATTTCTCTAGCTACTAAAGTCTGGCCTTTTTTGAGTACTAGTATTTTATTGCCCACATTTGCCTATTTATACTGATCTAGTCTGATACGATGAAGTTGTGAATAAAAGCCATGTGCTGATTATTTATATATACTACGTGGTATGCTGTGGACTATGGTTGCTGTAGTGCTTATTCCCTAATGAGAAACTAAGAAGAGAAGATATAGTAATAAACCATGGAAGTCTCTAGAGGCCATAGAAATGTTTTAGAGGTATAAAATATTCCTTAGTTTTTATTATAAATTTTTTATTCATAGGTTTAAAGTCATAGTGCGTACGGGTCTGACTTTCTCTTTTAGGAGAGAAAATAACTTTATCTGAAAAAGTCCAGAAACTATTCCGTCTTACCAGGAGTTTTTAATAGGGAATTGGGTTTACTTACGATGAAAGCATATTTTCATTCTGTTATTAAAAAAACATATCCCTGCTCATTGTGTAAATCTAAGATTGGAATGATTTCCTGAATTGTGTAAAAAGCAACCTTTTTATTTTAAATCATCATCTATGAACATAGCATGAGACTGTAGATTAGTTTTCACTTTAATAATCCAGCATTGTAGTTAGGTACCATTTGCTTTATGTAATCTGTTAAGGAACTATTGTGATTCATGTTATGATTATTTTTACTAGTAACAAATTTTATTTTACTAGCATTTCTTTTACCTTGCATGTATAAAAATGAAATTATAACAGGATCAAATATGGAAATGACAGTGGTAACCTCTGCCACATGTAAAGATCTATACTATTTTTTTCATATGTCTAAATTAGGTCTAAATATACAAAAGTTTTCTACTAATTCCGCCTCCCTAAAACTAAAATGAACGAAACTCAAACAAACAAAAACCCCAACCTTCTTTTCATCTAATACTTCTACACAGCTACATGATAGTGGCTTCTAGACATCAAGAAAAGGATTCCTGGGGCCGGCCCCGTGGCTTAGCGGTTAAGTGCGCGCGCTCCGCTGCTGGCGGCCCGGGTTCGGATCCCGGGCGCGC